CCTGGGCCTTTCATCCCAAGTCTCATCAAATTCAACAACAAGTTCCTCAGGTACGGTACCAAACCTGCCAAAACCTCACAAAACCTGCTGTTGGAATATGGCAGGTTTTGGGCAGTTAGGGTTAATACCTCATAAAACCACTTGACCTCACGCAGTGGTAACAACAATACAAAAACCTTAAGGTAAGAGGTACTCAGGTACATGTATATGTACATGGGAACAGCCTATGACAAGCACTGTACAGACACCATGAAAGTACATGTAGGCCTGAACTTCCAAAAACTAGTTAAAAAACAAATGGGAGACTGAAAAGCCACTGTTTGTATTAGTAAACCATATTTTAAGTTGTCTTTTATTATTGGCAAGGAAAATGACATTCTTAATTATCTGGATTTTTATATAACACCCTTTAGTTATAATTCAATTCACAAGGTGGTTGTACCTCACCTCATTGTCCTTTGGCAGTTCGATGAAAGTCATAGTACCATACTAGATATTAACTTATGGAAGCAGATATGGACCTACTACAGAGGCTTTGTACATGTACGGTAGCTATCTTCCAGTGCAATTCTTTTGTTCCACAGGGGAACCTCCTCTGTGCATAACCTCTGGAAAAAAGCACTGGCCTGCAAGATGACAGCCATGCAAACCCTCTCTAGGCAGTTGCCAGTTAGTGTCTGATAAGACACCCTCATTCACCTTTAGAACTATTTATAGGACCATTATAATTCATGGGAAAATTTTTTTCTTGAAAATAAATTTAGGAGTCCACTTTTTTTAGGGGGGATATTTGGTCTTAAAATTTAATTAGCAAGATTCCAGCTGGAAAAGAGGTCACAATTTCTTAAGTTGAATCTTAATGGCTAACGAGTGGTATCGCATAAACTTTGTATGTTCACATATTTATAAATTAAAAGTTGTTTTGGAGGCACAGACACTCCAATTAACTCACCATGAAACACAAAATGCACATGGATTTTGCTACCCATATTTAAATAGGGAGGGGCCAAGTGGGCACAGGCTGTTACTTTGATGTTCAAATGACACATATCAACGTGGGGGGAGGGGATGCGAGTGGTGAATGGGCTATGCAGACATGGAGAAATACTTCTGACAATTTGGTTTTGCTTTTCCTTTTTTCTTTAAAAGGAGAATTTGTTTCTTTGAAGCCAGTGAAAGTGATGCAAATGGGGTTGATAAACTAGCACTTTATTTCATTGGACCCATTAAAGGCCCATCATTGAATCATCAGCATACTAGAAAGTTATGACATACATGTACATTTTTCAACTTCTGACCCAAGTATGACTTATCATTTAAACAATATGCGCACATGCATTACCATTATTTACAAAAAGCAAAGTAAATTGCTTTTTTACTGATTGTACAAATAATTTTTAGGCGGAGCTGCTTTATTTGGACTTACAGTAATTTAAGTATGGAGATGCAAATATGTCACTAAATGTAACTATAAAACAGCCATACAAAATTAAAAGGTTTTGACAGGCTTGTGCACAAGCAGGGAAGCCACTGAAAGGCTTCCTTTTGCAAAGCGGTTAGCACTCTATTAATGTCCAATGTATGTTCTTACAAGTAGGTAATACACTGTATGGATACATTCGCATGAGTATGCAACAGTATAAATTCAGTGGGAAGGTTACTTATAAAGGCATTAAACCAGTCTGAAATCTTGAAACCAGTCCCTCTGAAAAGAAAGAGAAGAAAACACCATGAAACTCATCCAGGGGCATGAATCGACCAAAAATAAAACCTCTCTCCTGTGATGATGAACAACTCTCTTGATCTATTGTACATTGTCTGTTTATTGTGGGAGGTCAGTTAAGCATGATTCTGTATCTGCGTGGGACAGATGAGTGGCAAGAGCATTCTGAAATTGTGTCCTCTATGGTTACATACACATGAATCTGTGAACATCTATGTACAGCACTGTATTATTTAAAGGGTGGCTGCAATCAGTGTGTTTTAACACAAACCTTTAAATGCACCTTAGTGTCTCGGTTAACCTTATTTTCAACTTTTGTTTCATTATTTCAAAGGGCATTTCCCTGCCTTTTATTTTTATGCTAATAAGTTTTCCATATTCATGAGAAAACCTGTGATGTCACCTCAGGATGAAAGCCTAAATTTACACTGGTTTGTATACAACAAACTCTTGCATTTTTCTAGTTCTTGCTGGACGAATTGTTCTCTTCTTTGCTGATTCTTTGTTGTTTACGTGTACAGCAATAAGCAAGCACCAACCAATTTCTCAGAAATGTTTTCAGTAAGTTAATTTTGGGTTCACAATTTCCACTGAAAAACCTGTGCAGTCAGTTAACTATGATTCCCAAGATGACATCACAGAAACAGCTCCCTCAGTTGTCCAGGAAAGCATGGATAACATAATATTTTAGGTAAAAGTGCACTTTTCAGTACATTTAACCAAATAGAGGTGTAAAAGTGTCTTCATACATTGAAGAAGCGTACAATGCTGCAGAAAGTTGTGTCCAAGAAAATTTCACCGAGGCTACACTATAACTATGAATGACTGAACAAAGCAATGTAAACAGTTATACAATGTGGCATGACTTGTAGTCAGGTAGTAACAAGAACAGCTGCTTACAACACCTAAATTTGAGCCGATGTCCACCACAATTTCTTGCAATGTATTACAAGGAAAAGCGTGGTTTTTTCTGAACATGAATGGAAGAGGTCTTATTATGGTTTGGCAATTCTTGGCTAACTATGGTGGGGATACACCTTCCCAAATTTACTTTCACCCACAGTGTCAAGTCTTTTTGGTAATTGAAGAGAACATTAAATTTGTCGTGCTTGTGCTGAGATGTTGCTGAGCAAAACCCAGTGAAAAAGACAGAAAAAAGAGAGAGGAAAACATTTTCCTTATCCAAGTTTTTTGAACCAAAATTGCAAACTGTTAATACGAGGTTTACAGTTAAGAACAAAGAAAGGAGCCACATCAGTGCACGGACAAAGGTAACGCCATAAGTTTACAAACAAAGCCTTATTTATACGATCTGACGCTACTGAGTGCACGAAGCTAGCTAGGGGAAGCGACCATGCTGATACAGTGACCTAAATGTACTGTACATATACATGCACAGTGAATGTCATATCAAACAAAGAGTCAGTAACGTCAGGCCTTTGCCTACAGTACATGTACATTGTACATTTAGGAAAGAGTACATGTACATGAACAAGGTTGTCCATTGTGCATGTACCGTACCGATGTCATGTCACAGCGCGCGAACACCTCAGTAAGAGTGTCCCAAATCACGTAATAAATGCAACAAACCTTGGCTGTGACGTTCATCGTGCTATCTCTTGCAAGCTTTGGTGCACTGTCGGCCATTTCTGATGAATTTTCGTCTTAAAATCTTTCAAAAGACGGCGCAGACAGAACCGTTTCGCGCATAAAACACACTGTAGATCGGTTGTACCACAAAGAAGGAAGTGTGTGCGTAAAATGAGGCAACAATGCGGTTAGGTCACAGCTGTATGTAAATATAACGATGACGTACGTTTTGGGCGTACGCTCATTGGACATTGTCTGCGACAGCTGTTCATTCATTGGCTGGAGTCAAGCGAAACTACTCCACGTTTGCCGTTGGCGGGCTTTAGCAGGTTGATATTCTAATTGATTATCATCATTTCACAAGTGCCAGGTATGGCGCGGGCACAGTAACGGGAGGTGGGCAAAGGTCTCTCTGTTATGAATCTTGAATTATTATGATAACTCTGCGCAAAGAGGCCATGGAAAAACAAGGTTGACGTTGTTCTTTTGTTTATTTATTAATTGACTGATTGACTATCTTATTGATAAAGGCCATGGAAAAAAGAATTTCAAATTTCTCTCCCCTAAAACACCCTAATTCGCCCCGGCCCCCCAAATTTGGTTCCTTTAAACGCTCATCACCCCAAGCTACTCCTCTTCCCCAAGAGAACCAGGTGCTTCCTCAGATTATAGTAGAAACAGTACACACCCATGACACCATCCTTGCCACCCATACACACGACAGGTTTATATGCAGATTATCCTTTATCCTATCTCAAACAACACTAAAAGTTTGTACCTGGGAACTGGTGTCCGAAGGAGAGAGTGAGGACCCCTGATAACATCCAAAAAAAGAAAAAAGGAAAAGCAAACGAAACATCAAAGGGGGATATACCTCGGAACTGACCCAGTTCAACCGTTAATGGCCAGCCAGTTTTCTGCTGATTAGTGCCAAGGGTGGATGGGGGGGGGCAAAAGGAGATATCCCCCACCCAAAAAGGAGCTAAATTTAAAAGGTGGGGGTTGTGATTGGCTAGGTCTGTTTCATTTCCCTTCCAAAAACATTCACGAAGACCCCAAATGTAGCCTCACCCCTCAGAAAGGCTATGAAAGATTAATTCTCAATGTCATTTTTTATGAAATTTAGTTATATTTCAACAATCTAGTAGGTAAACTAAACAAAGATTGCTACTTACGTCAAAAGCACGAGTTGAAGTCCTTCACATCAGGCAAACTGAAACAAAATTGTCGTCGCCTGTTTTGATGACGTCACATACGGCTCTGCAAGTATACGACTGTTTCTTTATTTCGTGGCGAATGCGTCCGCGTGCGTGAGCGCTTCCATGTGCTTACTCGCACTTAACTGTGAATTTAAAAAAGGTCGGACAGTGACAGCGATTTGGAATTGTTTTTAACCGACAAAGGGACAATGTTGATCAACACTGGATCGTATGACAAAGTTGAACCCTCCCAATACATACAACATAATGACGTCATGTAGAGTTTACCGCGGTGCATTGTGGGTAAAAGGTGGGGATGTTGCAGGAACGCGTCGACGTGACACGTCGCGTGTAACGTATGCTATATGGCGTGTGCATCGACCCAGTCCCGGGGAAGTTAAAAAAACGCAGCTCTGGCTTTCGTTGAGTGATTGATAAACACAATGGAACACAGCAGTTCACATAGACCATTTCCGACGTTAGTAAGGAACTTTTTAATTTTTTTCTGGTCAGGTCGACACACACGCCATAGAGTATACCTTACATGCGACGTGTCACGTCGACGCGTTCCTGCAACAACCCGACCTTTCACCCACAATGCACCGCGGTAAACACTGCATTACGTCATTATGTTGTAATTGGAGTACGGTCGTGATGAATTTCAGGCAGATGGCCGTGGTCATTCGCCGAAAATGACGTCTAACTTACTTTACTCGTTTTGCTGTTCTTGTGCCATCCACCCTGAGTTGAAAAGACAGACTGGTACGAAGTTTTCCAACCGGGTTCTTACCACGGCCGTACATGTATATAAAAAACCTGGACTTGCAACGCGTTTGTATGAAAAAGAAGGCAACCAGCGGCCATTTTACCTAGCCGAACACTAAGTTTGGGTTGGCTCCCTTCTATTGACGTCAGGAAGAATAAAGGCGGGCAATGCCAGGGAAGCTTTGTATTCAGCTCGGTAAAATGACCGCGAGTGGATTCAATGACTCTATAAGCTGGTTAAGGGCATTGCGAGTCCAGATTTTATTATAAACGTCCGTAGTTCTTGCACGCATTTGGCGTACTCAGCGTGCTCTGCGTCAAACGCGCATAGACTTGCGCGCCTGTGCGGTGAGCTCGTGCTCGGTACAGGTTGCACTATACCAAATACGTGCCCATAGAAAACAGTGCAAAATCGGACCGAAATAGCGGCGCCAGGGGACTCTCGTGAAGAGGTTGGCCTCCGTTTGTTTACTGGAAATTCAAGATAGTGGCCAGAAGATCACTTTTCGTTTCGATTTCATGGGGGCTAGCAGCGATTTTTTTTTAATTCGCCTTTCATGGAAGATACCCCCCAAAACAGCAGTAAAAACTGAATGTAGCCGCCCGCCTCTATCCAAACTAGGCCCGCAATTTGGGGCTTTTTGTGAAAGAAATACCCCAAACTGGAAACTCTAAGTTCCAAACACGGGATTTATAGAAATATTTCTATGAAGCCTCCTGATTATGGCATGTCGTATTGTAAAAACCCCGTGGGATCACAAAATATTAATGAGCACGCGCGCAGAAATCCAACCATTTGGTGGAATGCACCCCCCTATAAGGACTGCCAATACAGGCGTTTCACAGTATTGCGCCTTCGAGAGTTTGAAACGTAACGGCCAATCATAATGCGCAAAATTTGTCGACCCAATATGTCCCTTTGTGTTTATATGTATGTGCCGGTATTTTATTTAAAAGCACGCCCTCTGTTGTTCCCGCTCGGAACAGATCCCCCCATTACGGCCACAAGGTCAGGAAACTCTGGGGGAATGAGAGCCGTGTAGACCCTGGTCTGGTCCCTGTCCCTATTGTAGGACGGGTAGCTTGCTGCGATTTAACGCGCGCGATTATTCCTGAATATTCAAGCTTTTGTCAGGCCGATAGCACTACTTTAACTTAAAATATTACGTTTCGACGTGGAAGCGAATGAAACATAGTTACCTATCCTTGCTAAAACCTGTGTTAATAACAGTGTGGTAATTTATTTTTCAATAATTGTTATCGATAAATCATTTAACGGCAATTTATTTCAAGTCAGTGGTTATTATGTTAAATTTTAGATAAATGAACCATTTATGGTGAAGTTATTTTCTGGGTAACGAAGGAGGAAAAGCAAAATATGCTATCAGATCCTGTGGGGGCGGAAACATGACATAATTGTTATTAAAGACAGTCTTCAATGCATGTCACTGAAAACTGGAAGACGTCTCCTTATTGCATAGCTTTAGATGCTGCAAAATGTCATGTGAGAGCTCTGCTAGGAATCTTGGTAGGCCTACGCAATGCAAAACGTGAACAAAGCAAACGTAACTTCACGAACGAAATACTAGGCTCATAATGAGTAAATTGTTTTTGAGTCTTTCGATGGTTTCCCTTCTTCCATGCCTCAAATGCATACAGGCACTGGCGCACCAAGGATTTGAATTTTGATGTCATTCTTTGCTGGCTATACAGTGCATAGCTAGCAGTAATAATTGTTGATATTGGGAGTCTTTTACCGTATTAGTGTCGGAATATTCGGGATTGGCACATCTGTATCGAAGAGTACTTGATGTTTACCATTTATTGTTTATAGAATGGATAGAATGGAACTCAATGGATTTATTTTCTTCTCAAAAAAACTCTGCTTTGGGGCAATCAATTTGAGTTGACGTTTTAACCCCTTGGCAGAAGTTTATTGCGGTTCATAAACCATTTGGAGAGGTTTAAAACTACACTTTGGTATAACAATCAAATTAAGATTGGCAATAAGATCGTTATCAGCACAAGTCTTTAGCTGGTATTATTTTTATATGTTATCTTCTAGATGATATGAGTTGCTTTCTATCACACTGTCCAATTTTAGGGCCAAGTTCAATGTCCAGACCAACTTTATTGAATATGGTTTGGTCTTAAGATTAGTTAAGGCTGCTTATGGTGATCTGTTGACGAATAATAACATTATGCCCTTTGGCTTTGTTCCCTTCAACATGCATGTTCTCCTGTTCGACAAAAAGGTCTCTCGGAGACTCTGCGATTTTTCTGTATCGGCAAAAATTGTAGCCAGAAAGTTTGTGGACAAATGAGAAGGGCAATATTGGTTTCAGGTTTTTAGTGTTCCTTTCACATGTACAATGTACAATGGACTCTACGCTTAGACGGTTTCAATTTCAGAATCCTTGGTACTAACTCGTTATTCGTAAAGTTCATAAGTTGGATTCCAAGGTCTGTACTTTCTGCAAAAATGAAGAGAAAACCCTTATCCATCTCTCTTGCAACTGTAATTATGTTATTTCTTTCTGGAGCTCATGGTAGATTGGATTAAGGACAAAACAATGATACAGCTTGTAATAGACAATCAACTTTTATTGTTCGGTGTTGTTAACACTAGACTCAAATGCCTTAACCTTATCCTTTTGGTTGACAGATTTCACATTTATGAAATGAAAATGAACAGCAAATGTCCCTCGTTAGAAGTTTTGAAAAAGGATATAAAGAAGTGTTATCATCGTGAAAGATTTTTGGCCCCTGTCAATGGTGCTTGCCAAAATTTTTGGTTGAAATGGCAAACTTGCTCTGCACTCTGTCAAGTCTAATTCGAACAATTGCAGTTTGGCACAAAAAGTATGATGATCTCTTATAACTGTATTAATTGCCATTGAGTTTGTATTGGTAAGAGAGAAATAAAAAGGTGTCTCTGGAAAGAAAATGAAAAACACTGTAATTAAGTGTTGCAGTCAATTTAACATTACGAAAGAACATGCTTTATTTTTTTGGTACAAAAAAAGACAATTTCTGGGAATCGAACCCAGCTTGGGGGTGTGTCATCAGAGATTTCAAGTGGACTGGTCCCTGTCCCTATTATAGGGGGCCGGTAGCTAGCTGCAGTTTAACGTGTGCGATTATCAATGTGGATGCTGAATATTTAAGTTGTTTGTCAGGCCAATAGCAATGCTTTATGAGACATAT